AAAAAAACATCAAACGATCAAATATCTTTTTAATGCGACATCTCACACGACAATGACCAAATCATGTTATGAAACAATACACATGAATGACTACGTACGTAAACACATATATACAAACATATAAACTAAGAGAAAGAGATTTGACTTAAGACCATATATAAAATGTGTGCATCACTAAGAAAACTGCGGCCAGCTTTTGCCCCACCGTCATTAGCGGCACCCGCGGCGGTATAGAGTCGCAGCCGCTTAAACAGATGTTGCTGCAACTTCAAGTAAAGTGGAGAGAGATCAAGTGGTTTGTTTTTGTCTTGGTTGTGCATACGTATAATATATTATACTGATAGATATTTTTTTTTTGTCAACTACTGATAGATATGTAAACGAATTTAAATTACGAACAGTATCAGTGTTGTTAGAATTTTGTTTGCCTGCGATCAGCGGCGGCACAAACGCGGGAAAACTTGAAATTTGCGGCAGAGGAAGAGGCAATGGCTGAACAAGTGACGCAAAATGGTAGACAACTAGAGAGAGCAAAACTGTCAAAAATTACATGCCTGTGTCTAATTTTTGAAATTAAAATAAGTGACACATAAATTTATATTTGTATGCGTCATTTAAAATACGTAAATATAGAAATTCTCTATTCGATTTGAACAATACTTTACTATTTTCAACCGGATCCAAGATAATAAATATCATAGAATTACTACTAAAAATGACGACCTGTTGAAAATGCTGAAGTATTATTCAAATTGAGTTGGAAATTTCCAAATTTATAATTTTGTCAAGAATATATAATATAGGCTGATATAAATTAGTGTAGACAAATCATATTTGCAATTTTGTTTGGTTGATAGTTTGAGGCAAATGATGAGAGAAATTTGGCAAGAATCCTAAGAGAAGCATCGAGTGATGAGAACACGGTTATCGTAACGCTGATGAATAAGGCTTGGGCGGAGCCGAATTCGACATTTGACATATTTCTCGAGGGCTTTCGAGTTGGCGAGGGCACGGAGAGGCTGCTCCGCCATGTTGTGGTGGTGTGTTTGGACGAAAAAGCCTATTCGCGGTGCGTGGAGGTGTTTCCCAGCCGTTGTTACTTGTTGAGGACCGCCGGAGTTGATTTCTCGGGCGAGAAACGGTTCATGGTGGCGGATTATCTCAAGATGATGTGGCGTCGAACCGAGTTCTCATGTTGCATCTTTAATTTAGGGATGGAATTGGCTATTCGATTTTTGGTATAATAATATTGATTTGAACATTTATGAAGGAATTCAAAGTTTTGGTTTGACAACATTTCAGTTTTTTTTGGATTAATTACTAAAACAAATGAAAAATCTAAATTAAGTCTTAAAAGATATTATAATCATCACAAATTTTTTTATTACAAGAATGCTATTATGAATTTATTATTAAAAAAAAAACTCAAAATTTTGTGATGTTTTTGTTCGAAACAGCGGCCGCGGAGGCTGCGAAGGCGCCCGATACGCGCTCGAC